GTTATCCCCCCTGACCTGAGGGCATCTGGGTGTTTTCTATCTCTTGATTTTTTATTTTTGACAACACTTTAAACAGTTGACTTGCAGAGTTTCAGACACTTAGAAATTTTATGATATCTCATATTAGTATGTTTATACAGGGCATAATTTTCCTTATTTCTGTCTTCTCTGGCTCTTCTGGAGTATGGTGGTGCCATGGTGGGATGGAGAGGTAGGAGTAATTGTTCATTGCACTGTTGCTAAGTCGGGGTATGAAAACATTTCAGATATGACTGTACTGTATGATACAGTATCATGATTTTTTCTATTCTTATCATACTTGTACACAAAAGCTGTGCATACCAGGTTGGTGTAAGGATGGGGAGGCAGTAGGGGGAGGGGGAAGGGGAGAGAGGGAGAGGAGGAGTAGGAAGTAGGGGAGGCGGGAGGATGTGGATAGTGGTTCAGCGGGCAGGCGGGGTAGAAATAAATATAAACAATTAGACACTAGTTGTTAGACTCTTCTCTCCTCGAGGTCTTGATAGGGAGACTGCTGGTAATACAGTACGGTGCTTTAGTACTCAGGGGTCACTATAAGTCAAGTGCACTTCCGAAATGGGCACTGTGCATATATGGGAACTAGAACTAAAGAGAAAGGCCGAGTGATGCCCGATGACCAAAATACGTAAAGGACAAAAGTCAGGCGCATTTTCACAATTTCTATTTTATTTACAAACTAATATGGTGTAGGTCCTCCCTCAGCATCTATAACTGCCTGCAATCGTTGTAGTATGTTATGAATCAAGTTCTCCAATCGCTCCACAGGAATTCCATGCCATACAGTATTTAAAACCCTCTCCAAAGTAGGAATATCCCCCATCCTCCCCCATGTCTCTCCCAGTTCTGCCTCCATATCTATCCAAAGAGCCTCAATTAGATTAAAATCAGGTGACTGTGCCGGCCACCTGATTTGCTCCATCTCATTTAGCCTTCAGTAGTGCTTAGCTGCCCTCTTATGGCCTGGAGCAACATCCTCAACAACTCTAATCCAGCTGTATTCCTCACAACACTTGTGCCAAAAAGGCACCAGATATGGCTCTATGATATTGGTAACATAGAGTGTAGAGTCCATATTAACCTTTGATGGAATAAAAACTAGGTCAGACTTTAAGGTACCGCAGAAAGCCCCGCACACTATTTTTGTTTCGCGTCCGGATTTAAAGGTAGCGTCGATACAATTCTGGTGATACTCTTCGGAGTGCTTATGGGTAACCCAGGAATGAGAACGGAAGCCAGAGGTAGAGAAGGATGACTTATCGGTCCACCTCACCCTCATTCAATCCTCAAAGGAGCACCCTAATTGCGCTTGACACTAGGCAACCTGGATGGGATGATTGGCAGGTATAATTGCGAATTTCCAGTAAGGACCATGCCGGTGATACCCCATAGCATTCATTACTCACTCGATCATTCTAGCACTGCATGCATAGTTCATCTCTATGCATATGACCTCCTAGCTAAGGCGTCATGTTTGTGCGTTGTGTGTCACAAAAGCTTCTAACTGTGCTTTTTCAGCTTCATCGAATATGGTGACCGACCGGTTCTTTTCTTATTAGATTGTGTGCCCATAACTTGTGCCCGTTGATAAATCTTGCTTTATTTTTTAGCTATCTTTCTATGAACTTCAGTTAATATACACACCTTCTAACATGTCCACCTATCTATATGCAGATGCTTACCAATCTTTATCCAGCTCCAGCCAGCTTCCTCCTATAAGGTAAGAACCTTTATTCTTTCGTCTGGAGTTGTTTTGTGATGTCGAACACCCCCATGGTTCCATTCGGGTTGGCCTTTTTGCTTCATACTCGTGGTGTCACAGGCATTCTGGTGTTTACAGGTGAAAACTTGTGTCTATGCTATTTTCTTTCTATTTTTCCTTCTCACCTTAGCAGCCAGGGGGGGCAACTGCAAGGGGGAGGGCTTGTACTACTGTGCCGGAAATACCCTCATATCTGAGTACAGTCGTGTCCGTAAAGTCTTCATACCCCGGCATGGCAACGGTGTTGTCCTCCATCCTCTTATACAGCATTCGGCGGACTCGAACAAGGATTGGCA